TTTTTTTTATAATTTTTGGTGTAACATTTGGCTATTTTTTAAGCATTTTTTCTAGAATTCCTTTTTAGAATTTTTGGTGTAACATTCAGGTTATTTTTTAAGCACTTTTCTAGAATTGAAAAAAAAATGTTGGTACAACATTTTGACTGTTTTTGTGGACTTGTAAATTGTTTTGATAATTTTAGTCCAGTGGGCTCCAAATCTTGATAAAAATTTTATAAAAAACATGAAAAAGTATGGAATTTAAATTTGTGAACGATGACAAAAGTGGAGGAAGGTGCTCTGGGGGATAAGGTAAGAAATAATTTGATGACATCCAACTTGTGTCAATTAAATCATTGCTGTGTTTAATATTTTGATTTATTTTACATATTGTGAGTCAGTGAAAATAAAAAGTTATAATAAATATTTTTTATTGATCTATTTATTGAAATAAATGATATTTGATGTGGTAATATAAAACATTGACAATTGTTATACTTTTCGAATACTAGTATATCATAATATCACATTATCAATAATAAAAAAAAAAAACAAGGAAAAAATTGTATGGTCTTAATATTATGCATAATAATGCATTAATACATAGGTTGTATGAAGAAAAATTAAAATACGACTCTTTCAAATCTTTGAAATCTCAGGTTTACGAATAAAAAAGATGGGTCACCAACCTTAAAGAGCATTCAAGTTTTAATAATTTGTGCCACACATTCAGAACATTTTCTCATGTGAAACGCTTCAACATCCATTTTGAGGAGTTTGTGTGCCATTTTATTGGTTTTGAATTATCATCTCACGAATACTGTTGTGTGTTATATGCAAACGTAGCATTTTTAGATTATGATAAATCAGTCTGATTTGGTCTACATTGACAAACAACAATAAAATAATATATGTTTATGTCCATATTTCATCTTTAATACAAAAACATAAAACATATATTTAAATAGATGCATTTTATTCTATTGTATTCTTTCTATATATGACAGCAAATATTAGTGTTTGTCAATGTTTTCCTTTAACAAACACCCCTTTCAGAAAATGGAACGTTCCTTAACTAGAAAACTTAAATATTGTTTATTGTAAATTAATTTTCGTTTGTAATTTATTTTCGCTATTTTCGCTAAAGGGAAGATTCAGTAAAAATAAAATCCAGCGAATAAACCTTTTTTCCTGTTTTATTACATTCAACTCATCCAAAATCAGTGATATTATTAAATTCCGTACAAAACACCCAAAAAATCTTTTCAGTGAAAATTAATTCTAGCTAAAATAAAGTATTTCACAGTATACCTGAAAAGTAGAGTATATTATTGTCACAATAGTTTTATACAATGTATAATCTTGTCACTTTGGACTACTGTAGAGGGATTACTTATTAGCTGGGTTGTATTTTTGCTTACATGTACATGTAGCTAAATTAAAACTCATTCACAATATGCAAAGTTAAAAATAGAATGTATTATAGTTCCCTTCACAAGCCAGTGAATTTTAAAACTTACTTTGCAACATCAAATCCACTAAAATTAAACCAAGTAAACATTTCTCTCTCTAACAATTTTCTGACAGCGCAACAATAGATGCTAATTGTTGGCGTTTGTCACTTTTTTTAATGGTTTGATAATACAAT